GTCAGGGTGCAGGGCCCCAGCGATCCTGACCTCCAGCTGCACCCGTGTCCTGAAATACCACCACCACCACCCCCCCCCGGGAAAAAAAATAATATTCCGGGAGGGGCGGGGATCGGTCCCTGGCTGCCCCGGAAGGGGTTTTGGCAGGGCTGGTGCTGCTGTTCTGCGGCGAGGGAGGAGAGGCTGCCCGGGTGTGGGGGCTCGGTGAGCCTGTGCTGAGAAGGAACAGATAGATCTTCACTTAAAAGAAACGTTATTTGTGCTCTAGAAGGCTAAATATAGATGTAGGTACGGGAGCAAACAGGCGTGTCAGCAGCTGGGGGCTGAGTCTGTATCATTAAGAAAAAATTCAGCAGGATGGGTGGATGCTGCTTGAGAAAAGAAACGCTCTGTAGGATGTAACAGGTAATGCTATCTACGCCTTGTAGGTATGTGGAGGTTGTTATTCAGGGTACAAGCCGGATTAATGATTTCCAGCACTGCGCAGGATGTGCGGCGTTTGTAACTGAGCGTTGCTCAAGGCTTCATAGCTGGGAAGAGCTTTGCAAATGAAGTCCTGCTGCAACAAGTTTTGGAGGACCTGATGTAAACACCGCTCCCTTTCCTGCCTCGTGCTTGGCCGCTCTGAACGCAGCTTTTCCCGCTGCTTTTGCTGCAGCGTTTCCCTGAGCAGAACCAGGGGTGACTTTCCCATAGGAATTTGTCTTCTGGCAGCCGTGAGAGGGGTCGGACACGGTCTGGAGGTGAGCCCCCTCCCCATGTACCCAGGTGTCTTCATGGGCAGCAGCAGCCCTGGCACAGAGGCAAGTTCTCCGAGCGGCAGAAGGGCAGTGTTTTCTTCCAAACCGCCCATTGAATTTTGGTCAAAACAGCTTAACCTTGGAAGTTCTGCTTTTGCCCACATCTCCCCGGCAGGACTCGAGGCTGTTTCGGTTCAGTGCAGCAGCCGCAAGTGCGAAAGAGGTTTATGAAGTTAATTTTTCACTGGCTGCCTGTGCATGTTGCAGTGTTACAGGAGGGTTTAGGAGGCCAAGCGAGGGTCAGGATTGCCCTCTGTGAGATACTGCCCTGAGCCAGGTAAGTTGTTTTTGGTGTGGGGCCTCTTTAACCAGGTGAGGTGGGGAAAAAAAACATTCAAGAGGGAAGCTGAGCAGCAAACAGCCAGTTTTTATCTGTGTCTGTGTTCCTCAGCTTCAGGAAGGCATGAGTTACAAACCTCTCTACTCCATTTTGATTAGGAAATTACAGAGGTTTTTAAAATAAACAGTTCCAACCCCTCCTCCTCCTGTTCCCAAACTTTGAAGAGCTCTTCCTGTCTGAGCTGTCCCTGAAATGACTAGCTTGCCAGGAGTTGAGGCGTAAATCAGCACTGCAGCTGGACAGGAGTTGGGCTGTTTTCTTCAGAACTTGTCTGAGCAAGAGCAGGTAAAGAGGGGGGAAATCTCATTTTGAGCATGTTCTGTTCAATATGTTTTTAAGGCTGCCGTGACAAGGCAGAACAAGCCAGTAAGGCTGCCTTTATCTTGGTGAGGACAGCAGCTTCAAAACTGTAAATATGGAAGCACTTGCTCGCAAAGATTACGCTGCTGGACCTTGGTGATGCAACAGGATGAACTTACTTGAGCTGCGTTGTTTTTGTGCAAAGCCACGTGGAAAATCAGGAGCTGAAAAAAGACAGTAAAAACTTGAAACACAGAAGTTGTGTCTTCTGTTACTGGTGTTATTTATGTTCTCAGATGCACCCCTTGTGAGGCAGAGCAGGTTACCTCGCCGCTTGTGGGAACGCGGCTCGTTGTTATTACAAATATAGATTACAAAGATAGATACTGCAGACAGTTTAAAAGGGGGAAACTCTGGGCTGCTCCTGGAGAGGGAAGTTTGTTTAGGATGTTTAGTTTGTTTAGCAGTTCCCAAACTGCTGGGAAGGGGTGAGCTAGGAACTGATGTGTCCTGGTGTGTTAATTATTGTGTCAATTAACCCTGTACTGGTGTCCTCTACCTCTGTACTCCTCCAGACAGTCTGTTGCTTGTGCAGCATGGGGCACTCCAGGGGTTCTTAAATCTCCCTTCAGCCTCCTTCCTATTACTATTTTTGGTGATTCTTTTATTTCAGCTATAATGAGGCTGTCCTCCAGTCACATGTGATTTTACATATCTTTGAAAAAAAAAACCAAAACCAGACAAAGCATTTAAATGGCCCCTGCTTGTTGATTTGGGTTGGTTTTTCTTTTTTTTTTCTGGTAAAGTCACTATTAAACCCCACAGCAAAACTTTCTTTCCATCCCAAAGGTTGTTCTGTGCGGTGGTGTCCTGGAGTTTGGCTGCATCATGGCAACGGTCATCACCGAAAAGCTTAGCCGCCTCTTCGTTAATGTGCGGCAGGTCCCTCAGCTGATGGTCCCCCTCTCCCCTTCCACCGTCAGCAGCTCGGAGGTGCCAAAGGTCTTCTGGAAACCCTACATCCACACCGGCTACCGGCCGGTGCAGCAGACCTGGTGCTATTACTTCTCAACGCTCTTCCAGCAGCACAACGAGGCCATCAACGTCTGGACCCATCTGGTGGCAGCACTGATCCTGCTGCTGCGGTTCCAGCAGCTCTCGCATCGGGTGGATTTTGGGCAGGACCTGCACGCCCAACCCCTCCTCATCATCATCGTTGCGTCCATCACCTACCTGACGTTCAGCACCCTCGCTCACCTTCTGCAGGCCAAATCTGAGTTCTGGCACTACAGCTTCTTCTTCATGGATTACGTGGGGGTCGCCATTTACCAGTACGGCAGTGCTCTGGTACACTACTACTACGCTATCGAGCCAAGCTGGCACGAGAAGATCAAGGGGTTTTACGTGCCGGCAGCTGTCCTGTTAGCGTGGCTGTCCTGCGCCGGTTCCTGCTATGCCAAGTACCGGTACCACCAGTCCGCTCGCCTTCTGAGCAGGCTCTGCCAGGAGCTGCCCTCCAGCCTGGCGTACATGCTGGACATCAGCCCCGTGGTCCACCGCATCTACACCACGCCGCCCTCTGAGCAGGCTGACCCGGCCCTTCTGTACCACAAATGCCAGGTGCTGTTTTTCCTCATCGGTGCCTTTTTTTTCTCACACCCTTACCCTGAGAAGTGGTTCCCTGGGAAATGTCACTTTTTTGGGCAGAGCCATCAGATTTTTCACGTGTGCCTGGTACTCTGCACGCTGGCGCAGATCGAGGCGGTGGTGTTGGACTATGAATCCAGGCGACAGATCTATTCCACTCTTCAGGGTGATTTGGCGCATAACTTCTCTGCCCTGTGCCTCTTCACTGTGACCTGCTCTGTCCTCACAGCTGCTTACATGGCCCGGAAGGTGAAGAACAAGTTGAACTTCAAGGAAGAGTAAGAGCCCTGAAGGAGAAGCAGGTGACCTTACCTGAATGGTTCATCTCCAGCCAGCTGTGGTGATGCTGGCACAAATCTGGCCACAAACTTTGAAGAGAAAAGGAATGAAATGCTTCAGGAACTAGTGGTCTCTATAGGGAGGGAAAGTGAGAGCTGCATTTTATGCTTTTTTAATTCAGAATTAGTTCCACCTCGCTTTTAAAATGGTACACTGGTTTAATTCACATGTCTGAATAAACAGTGGGAACAAAATGTTGCTAGTGCTGCAGCTGTGTACTCTTAACAGTGGTGGGCTGGGAAAGGTTCTTGGAAGCTACCAGGTCTCAAAGCAAAAAGTAAGGAGCTGCCATCTGGCCCCCCATTAGCAGTGGCAGAGTCTAACCTGTGGAGACAGACTGAGGTGAGCTTGTATAAACCACAAAGAAGGGTAAAACATTTATTTAATATCATTTCAGGCCCCTTTTATATGGCTTAGGGAGTTGTACAGAGCTATCTGTGCAGTGAGAGGACCCTGTCCCTTACCTGGTGAGAGTGTGGGGTTGTGAAAGAGGGGAAAGTGCAGTAAGAGGAGAGATTGAGATAGTGTGGCTGGGGCTGATGTGATGAAGGCTGAGCCCCAGTGCAGCAACAGGGACCTCTGCACCCCCTGGGGTGGATGAGGCCCTCTCAGCAGGTGCTGGTGTGTTGGCTGCAGTGGTTTGAAGCATGCAGCCTGTGGCTTGTGAAGACAAGATGAGGGGCTGGGGGGCGGTGTCAGGGCTTGGGTTGTTCAGCAAACACCCAGGCCGGGGACAGGAGAGCATCAGGGAGAAGAAAAATCCCAGGTGTGTTGTGCTGCTCCCCCTCTGACCTGCACAGCAGCCCCTGTTTCTTCACCCGCCACCGTTGGCATCTCTGCAGGCACTCGCCCCCATCTTGCCGAGGAGCCTCTGGCACCGGCCGCCCCTCTCCCGCTGCGCAGGAGCCGATCCCGCCGCCATCAATCTCCTCACGGAACGGCCGCCCCGCCGCTTTATATAGGGCACGGCCCAGGGTGGGCGGGGCTCGACCAGCCGCTCATTCCGCCCAGCCGCTCGGATTGGTCCCTCTCTCCCACTAGCGCGCGCGGTAACCGTTGGCGGCCGTTAGGCGGGGGCGGAGCCCGGTGCGAAGGCGGGAAGAAGGGAGCGGGGCCGGACCCGGCGTCTGAGGTAGCGCCCCGGCCTCGGCCCCGGCCCTTCCTCGGGGCCCCGCTGAGCTTCGCGCTCCGGGAGACCGCCCGGTGCCGGGGATGAAGCGCAGGCGGAAAGGCGACGCGGCCCAGCAGGCCGAAGCGTGCGATGTCTGGCTGGACACCGCCGAGCTGAAGCAGAAGGCGGCGCAGGTGGGGCTCGGTGTGTGGGGGGGCCCCGGCCGGGGGTGGGGGGGGCCGCTGCAGCCAGGTGGGATATGCCCAGACCCCCGTCCCGAGGGAGCGTGTGGTTCTCGGGGGGGTGGAGGTGGGAGATGCTGTGGTACTGGGAGTTCGGGGTGGCTGGCAGAGCGAGGCTGTGAGTCGGGTGCGGTGGGAAACTATTTCAAGAGGCGTGAGGGGGGTTTAGCAAAGCTGGGACGGTGCAGGACGGCAGGGACAGCCTGCAGCCTCCGGCCTGAGCCTCCCGCTCGGGGTGACCCTGCTCGAGCAGGGAGTCGGACAAGGTGAGCTGCGTAGGCCCCTTCCAACCTCAACCATTCTGTGATGGTGTCACAGGAAGAGTTGGAGTGTTTAACAAAGGTGGGAACTGTGCCACAATGCTGGAAGAAGGGTAGAATTGTTTTTAGCGGCCTATGTTCACTTTCTACTTGTTTCTTTCCCTACCCAGCCTCCCGTAGCCAAACCAAAAGCACCTAGTCGAATTCTGGGAAGGAAGCACACCTCAGTCACTTTCACACAGACAAGAGCCTCTCAGCCACGCACCAAGCAAACCATCATCTCCACCTTCTTCAGCGCTCAGACAGGTAACGGGGAACAGCATACGCCCCTGTAAGAAAGTAGTTTCAGGCCATCCTAGGAAAGTCATCTCGCTTTATTTCTTGGCAGCTTTACTAGGCAGAAAAGTGGATTTTCTAGTGAAGAGGGTAAAGGTTAAAGGTTTGAACTCCTAGAAAGGATTGTATTGTGATGGTTAATCTAAATGCAGGCACCTTTTACAGTCTTAGACCAAGTAGCAGCAGTTGTAGCCAGTCTTTGCTGGAGAGCAATCTGAACTCTAAATAATGCACCGGGCTTTACTCCCTGCAAAACTGAAGTTTTCAGTGGGATGCTGGGACGCCTGGCTCAGCCCGAGCGCTGACACAAACCATCCAGGTGGCAAACCGTCCAGTTCTGGGTTGCCCAATGGTATCACATAAAGCACAATCCAGTTGGGAACACCACTTCGGCTGGGGCAGGGCACGGTCTGGGCAGGAGCACCGAGCCCGGTGGTGTCCTGTGGGCAGCTCTCCCTGCCCAGGGAAAGGGCAGCATCCGGAGCATTACATGCCAGGTTTTCTCTAAACAAGGGCAGCCCTAAATTGTCAGTTAAATGCCCTTGGAAGAACATTATAGCTGGAAGTGAAAATTAACGTTATGTGGTTCAAACAACGTCCCTGTAAGGGGAATCAGCGGGAGGTGAGTGAGGAAAGCTTTTTATGAGGGGTTGGACAAAGCATTTTCTGAAGAATACAGTGTTTAATCCTAACTGAACCAATGAAGGAATCACAAGGGAACTGGAATATTTAATCTAATTAAGCCAGCTCACAACCTCTGTGCTTTTGAGGCTGCTTTTGTGCTCTGGAATAGAAGAAGCTGGGATTTGTTCGTGGGTCTCAAATTAACAAATATAGAGAAATGAAATGGATGCAGGAACCAGCAGTGCAGGATTGTGTAGTTGTTTGTATATTGTAAATTGTGTAATGGCTAGTTTATCAACATTGAAATAGTTTAGCAATAAGGAGATGAGAGGAAGCATTACCTAAATTGTACAATTCAATTATTTGACAGAATTTTTGTGTTGTGACAGGGCCGTTGATGGTTTTTGCTTTGGATTCGTTATTCCTACTCCTTTTGAATGTGTTGTGTGGTCTCCTCTTTTTGTCGTTTCATTCCCTCGATTGTATTCACTTACTCATTGCATGTGTCTGGATTCACCGAATGCTGCGGCTGTTTGTCAGAGGTCCGTAGGATTTAAGATGCTGGCGTATTTCTTATTTGTTTTTTTGTTGTTTTTTTGTTTGTTTGTTTGTTTGTTTGTTTTTTTTAGCTTATCCTGAATTGACGATGAGTTTGTATATATTGAGGTTGTATTAAATTTTATATTAAATGGTTTCAGAAGCAAACGTGGGACTTGATGCCTTCTTCAGGTGATGAAGGCAAGCTGTAGAAGTTTCACTGTGGAGTTTTGTGGGGGGGTTTTTTGTTGTTGTTTTGTTTGGTTTTTTTGTGTTTTTTTTTTTTGTAACTAACTGTTGAGCTGCTGCTTTTAAAGGCAATGTCACAGGTGAACTGCCTGGTAAGCTGAGAGGAGGAAGGCAGAGAGGCCAAAAACTGGAGCAGCTGGAGATGCAGTTCTTGCATCTCACTTGAGGGAAGCTCGCTTAGTTGAACTACTCCAGTGTTTTAGGCTGCCATTCCATGGCAGGCTCAGCAGCACAAACACAGATGACCGTGAGACAGCAGCAGTGCTAGTCTGGTGTCGAACAGTCTGTGTGGTGCTACTTGAAGGAGCAGTAAAGCAGCAGTTCTGAGTCAAGCATCAAGGAATGGTGCTGTGGGTAGTGACTAACCCCCAAGAAATGTGTGTGCCAGCTCAGGATTTAACCAGTTCTGTGTTGTTTTCAGATGAAAAAGACAAAGAAAACTCCAGGTCATCTCCTTTCATCCTGAATGAAGACTGTAAAGAAAAAGGTGTTTCTTTGCCTGCCTACCCTGTGAAGATCTTGGCTTTGCCGCAGATGGAGGAAGCCCAGAAACAATCCTTCAGAGCTGAGGAGGTGATGGTGCAGGTTACGCCCCAACGTTGTGCACAGAAAGCACCAGCCTCGTCAACTCCTTTGCCAGACTCTTCGGTGTTACAAGCAGAGTCCCACAGCAACAGTGAAGCCTCCTGTGGGGTGGGAGAGGATTGCTGCTTCTTCCATTTCACCCAGGATTCAGAGGGCAACCGGATCATTGCTCACAGAAATGAGTCTGATGTATTTGCTGGAGAAACAGTTTCAGCAAGCGGCAGCAAAACTTCAGACTGTGGGATAAACAAACAAGTGGGCCAGCTGTTCCTGAAGGCGGCAAAGACCAGACTTGATTTCCAACCAAGACTTGGTGCAAACCAGAGTAAGAAACCACACCAATTGAGTAGTGCGAATTCTTTAATTGACTTCTCTGAGATGGAGACTATAAATCCTACGATAATGAGAGACAGTACCTGGGCTGCTGGGGCTTATTCATCTCCACAAAGACCAGCTAGAGCACAGCCTCTGAGAGAGCGCAGCCAGAACGCTGGTGCTGGTTCAGCTGAGGAGGGATGGGGCAGTAAGGTGGGACTGAGCAGTCCCTGCAGGCAGTTGTTCACCCAGGATTCCGAGGGGAACAGAGTAATCGCTCACCGCTGCCAGAATGTCCCATCTCCTCACAAGGACAACAGCAGCTCTCGCAGGCAGCTGCCCGACTCTCCCTGTGAGGGCCATTCCAGTGATGCTGCAAACAGGAGCGTGAGCAAACTGGGGGAGCAGTGGTTAGATGTGTGCTATGATTTACTGTTCACGCAGGATTCAGAGGGGAACAGAGTGATTAAACACTGATAAGTGACCTTGAATAGGTCGCCTGTATGACCTCTTGTGAAGCCTCAGGAAAGCGTTATTTTGTAAGAAAGCGGTCAGAATTAGGTAAGAGTACCTGTTGTTTCTGTATGTATGGTCTAGCCAGCATATGCAGTAGACCCATGCAACAGCAGGACCTCTTTGTTCTCTGAAATTTTGCTTTAATAAAAATAAAATTTTGAAGAAGTATATTTATAATGGTTTGACTGTTTCAATCATTATTTCAGCCTGTGTGGCTACTTTCTGGTGTTTATGTAACATGCTGCTGTCCAGCCTGAAGGAGTCTGCTGCTAACCTGTGTTTATTTCTTAGGATCCTGGAAGTCCAAATGTAAAGTTTTTCTAGGCTCAGCTACATTCTGCTTATCTCAGAACTGCAGCTGTGCCAGCCCCTGTACGTGACAGCTGGTGTGTGTGGCAATAATGGGAGGCTCACGTGTTTCAGCTTGTGCATCTGTAAGGGTGAAAGATGCACCTCTGCTAGCTGCAGGTGGGATCACAGCACTGAACTGCTGTTGCCAGACTTACCGGAGGTTTAAAGTGAGGAGGACTGTGACAAGGGAGGAACTGAAACAGTGCATCTGTTCTGGTAAGTCTGAACTGTAATCCTAATGTTGAATTTGTAGCTCTTTCACAGACAGGGATGCACCTAGATGGAGCGGGGTGTGCCTGCGAGGGCTTACAGCTGCAGGTTGATGCAGTTGGTCTGGCCCTGGTGAGGTGAAAAGCGGAGCAGTGAGTGCTGCGGGCTGGAGTAAGAACTGGTCGGTATTGGTTTAACTGCGTGTGGCAGCTGCCACCGTGTCTCACTAACAGCAGTGGTACTTCCCCTACATGGCTTGTTCAACATAATGCCCTGCTTTTGGATACACAGGGTTTTGGATGGGCATGCCTTAGATATTGTATCTGTTTTAAAGTGCAAGGAGCAGCTGCTCAAAAACCCCAGGGGTCACAAGCAGCAGACAGCAGAGTCCATCTGTGACCATGATCACCCTCCAGAACAACAACCTGCTTTGTCAGCAGCAACCACCCACTTCTTTACTCTTTTTTGTTGTTGTTTTTTAAATGTTGAGTATTAACACTGTAAGTGTGGCCATTTGAGATGGATAGCTTTACTTTCCCATTGGGCCAGATTTTCAGTACAATAGATGCAAGTGGAGTTATGTCACAGTCCAGAAGTTAATTGTGCTGATAAGCTCTTACATCCAGCCTGCACATGGAGCACATTCCCAGGAACAGGGACTCTTGCTTACAGCTCCATCTCCCCTGTAGGCAGGTGTATTCCCACCACATCCTTATGCAGAGGAGCCTTACTGGGACAGGGAGAACAATCGCATCATCCAGTGGCTCTTGGTGTGCATCTGAGAAGGGAAGAGCTCTATCAACTCCCTATAAAACTGATTAAGTCTTAAATTTCTGCTCTCGCTCTCTGGGTGGCCAGAGGTAATATAAGCCTCTTCTCTCAATTCTGAGGTGGAGATGATGATTTAATTTTTCAAGGGCTAAGGGCCTGGTGGATTAAGAAAATCCTTGGCATCTGAGTGCATTTGTCTGCAGCACCATCAGCCAGTGCTGCAGCAGCTGAAATTCCACACACACCCCCAACCTCCCCCAGATACAAGCACCACTGCTGACATGTTTGGACATCTGCATGTTAATAAGATCAAGGACAACCATTGTCTTATTAAGGCTCCATTTTATATAAAGGAAAAAAAAATCATACTTTAAATACAACCATGAGGAACATTGCAGAGAATGTGTAGCTGAAGGAAACCTCTTCAGTTAGTGAGAACTGTAGCCATAGACAATGCCAAGTTCCTTCTTCCCTTTTCTCAGATGACAGCTCTTGTGGTGGGTGCTTGATTCTTAGCATTGGTGGTTCAATAAATAGACTTTTTGAATGCTAAATAAAATACATTATCTGAATACAAGGACTATTAATGAAACATTAAATTACTGGCAAGAAATTAAGGCCATTCTGTCATGCAACTGTGGGAATAATTTGTGAGTTAAGAAATACCCAGGGCATACTAAAACCTGCCAGCATCCCTCAGATGTGTCTGAGTGGTTTGATCATTGACTGCAGTTTCATCCTACCACTGGGTCAGACAGAGTTATTGGGAAGACGTCTTTTACCGCTGTGGTTCAACAACCTCCTAAACACTGAAGACCTGGAAGCATTTCTTAGCTTATTCTCAGTAGCTCTGTACCATACTCAGAACAGAGAAAGAATGGGATGTTTGACATCCCTTTATACTGGCAATGGTAACTAGTTATATTGTAACAAGGCCGTTAGAAGTTAATGCTTAATTTGAACCTAAGGAAAATTGTAGGTCAAAAGAACGTCATCCAGCAGCACGCATTGCACTCTTTAGAAGATCCTTATCAATAATCAACATCAAAATACAGGTGGAAAAGAATTTCCATCTTCTTAAAAAGTTTTTTCTTAAATGTAACAATACATGGAAAACACATCAAATCCGTAGGGTCTTTCCTAAGTAAGTGTCCAGTGCAGAAACCATTTCTAATTAATAAAAGAGGCAAAAGGCTCAATCCTTAGGAAGGCAGCTACTGTGGAGAAAATTTTGGGAGCATAACACTTTTGCTTACAGAGTTTAGTGACAGTAACATCATTTCTCCTTAAGGGCCAGATCTTCATCCTTGAGGGCAAATTTTCTTCTCAGAACTTCTGCTATAAGAATGGCCGGGTCTTCCTCCTTCATTGAAGTTCGGTTTCTATATGGAAGAAAAAAGCCCAGTGTATTAGTAAAGAGAAGTGTCAAAATTGATGCTTTACAGCTCTGGTTAGAATCTTTTCAGTATTTTTCTGCAGCCTTTATTAGCTTTTGTCACAAGTGGAGAAGGTGCAAGAACACCACCACAAAACAAGAAAAAGCAGCTAAAAATTCAGGCCTTTCATGTTGGCTTAGAAAACCTGGAGCTCATTTTGTGGATCAAAGAGTATCCTGAAAATCTCAGCATCAACACTCTTTATAATTCAACTGTGTTAATAACAAGTAAGTAAAATAAAGCTTCATTAATTATTTACAGCCTACGTCCCCTCAATATAAATCTACAAGTGGTGTGGTGTTTGAGTTGAAGTCCTGGAAGTACTTTTTTTCATTAATTTTGCTATACAATGGATATATGCTTTCATATTTAAATATGGGTAATTACAGGTGTTTTAAAGGAGGGCTGGTATACATTTCCCTCTGCTGAGCTACTGGACATGACCTTTTTCTGTAGCATTCTGTCATCAAAGCATCCTGCCTCAACTTCCAACAAGTGCAGACAAGCAGTTCGCATTAGAAGCGTTAGTGAGCCTGTTTTACAGGAAGCCAAAACGCAGTTCCTTTTCCTCAGGTATCATGAATTGCTCACTAAGGTTTTGTTTAGAACCTGTACTAATAATTTCAGAGCTTAACTTGTTTGGGTTTTTTTTAATAGCTGAAGTCCTCCTTTGGTCAGAAAACATTATGGGTATTTTAAGCATTCCTTTTTAGGAAAAAAACCCCACAGAGTATTTCCGTATGTGTTCGGGAGGGGCTTGTTCTCAAATTAACATTGAAGGCTTTTGGTAAGCTGTGTAAGATGCCATTGAGCACCTTGCACTGGTAACCTGTAGCACAATGTCAGATTTCTGTCTGATGCAAGTTCTTAATTTACAGTTGTATAAATGCATCACTATTTAAAAGATGACTTTGTAGCCAGAAGCATGCCTTTCACTTCATCCAGACAGAGCCCTTCCTTCTGAAAAGGGTGCAGAGAGAGACCAGAGTACAGGGTCTGGAGCCGTCCCCAAACCCTTCCTTCCACACAGGCAAACCTGAGAATTCAGAGTTACCCCAGTATCCGTCAGCTGCCTCCAAAGAGGGACAGGGGGAAACTGGAGCAGCCAGAGGCGGAGGCAACACTAAAAACAGTGAGGAGAGACAGCACTGACCCAGTCTCGAGCTGTGCTGATCACAAGGATGAGCGAAGGGACAGATAACCCACAGCAGGGTGAGGAAAGGAACCTCTCCTACCAAAGGGTACAAGTGTCCTATGGCGAGGCACAACCAGCAGCAGACCACGGAGCACCAGCGTTCACCTTCAGTGTCTCAGCCCTTTATAGCCACTCGAAGGGCCAAGGAAATAATCATGGAAAAATGAAGTTGTTCAGTGCCGTAACAGTAGTACTTACAAGTCAAAGTGTACTCACAGTCCAAGCAGCTCCTCACGCTACCTGTCTTTAACCCCACACTGAGCGCACGGCCCAGCAGGCACACCACTCAGCCACTCCCCTCGCAGAGGGCATCACAGACACTTTAACAGGCTCTCTTTCACATTTGTTGAAACATGCACATTTCTGCAAGTGTTTCTCACTCATTCCTGAAGCTTCCAAGGTTGTGTTTAAGCACCAAGTCCTAAACAGGAGCATCAGAGAAGCATCTATGTAGTTATCTTGTTAAGCATCATTTGGTACCTTCATCCACTTAAAAGAGTACATGATCCTTTTAAGTGTTACACGTGCTGCACACCTACACTAGCACAACTGCTCTGCGTAACCCAAGGGCACGTCCACAAGGTGAGTACAGCTGCAGAAGCACAGGGCTGCTCTCACAACTGCATCGACACTGGAGAATGGTGTCTAGGAATTAAACCTCATCAAGTAATGAACAGCAGTAATTTATTTAATGTAATTTTTCAACTACCTGTGATTCTTCAAACAGCTTTAAGCTGTAGTAACCATATCCGAAAACATCACTGTTGCACATAGGAGGCAAGTTAGAGGCTGAGATAGATAGAGAAACAGACGAGAAGAAAACAGTTTGGCTCCAGCAAGAAACAGTCTCAAGCTTTTCTGTTAAAATGTTCCTAGCCTTGACGCAAGCAGCAACAGCAGAAGCAGCAAGTGTGACCCAGCTCCCGGCGAATCGGTCAAGCTGTCGCAAGGGGAGAAGGGTCCTGGTGACTCAGTTCTTTTGCTCACTCCATATCACAGCCAGAAGGGATATGGCAGCTATCCCCTTCCCCCCAAGGATTCTACAGTACAAAATCCTTGCTCTCCCCCATCTCCTGTAACATTAAAAAGAATCAAGGCTGTTGGTAAATCCTTCCTTTGTGCACAAGCCATCTCTTCCTCCCACTCATTCACACACCTTCTCTCCCAGAGTAACAGCAAGATCAAACACCTTCATTATTAGTTGTTCTAATACATTCTGTTGAGGAAATTGAAGTCAAATTGTGACCCATTATATTGCAACGTTCCCTGTCACCTACACGCTGCTTTTCACAGCCTTCCTCCCAGTCAGCACTTGGCTCCTCGTGATTCGGCCAGTGCTGGCAGGAGCCTTGTTGGCATATCCAGGCATGGATAAGAAATGCCTTGGATTTTCCTACCATAATCTGTATTTATACAAGTCTTCTTTTCCCCTAAATAATGCACGTTTCCCTGTATTCATCTGACACAGATGGTGGCAGTTTTCTTACCCTAAAAAGTCTGCTTCCACAGGAGGCTGACATACCAGTCTGCACTAATTACAAGATTGATAATTACATTGTTACATGTAAATGCTTAGTCCTAGAAGTACACATTTCTAATAAAGTTAAAACATTACATGTCACAACATGAAGCACCTGCAAGCTTTTCTGGATTTAACAGAGCCCATGAATGACCATTAGAATGGCACAGTTAGTTATACTCTTAACAGGGAAGTTACCTAAAGCCTACCTCAAACCCCTCCTGAGCCAATGTGGCTGAGTCGCGCACAACAACAGGTATTTTTCTCGAGAATTCTCTCTCCCTTTGCCTAATAATTCAGAATTATTTTTGGATGCTCAAAGCACTGCTTTGCAACAGACAGGAAGAAAGAAGAGGAGCGATTCATCTGTGGTCCATGAATTCTGCTTACCCCCAAGAAAGATTACAGGCATTTATATAAAGCAAGTAAGTGTTTAAGATTTGAGTAATATTTAACACTTAGGAAAACAAAAGCAAAAGGGTACGCAGTGTGAATTATGGATGTGCAATACCATACTGACATTCTGGATGCAAGCTGAATGTACTTCTCTCATTTGACTATGTGATTTTTTCTGTGCTGAGAATTTAATTTCTTTTAAACTGAATTAGGCATAGAAATTGTGAACAGCCATCACACAACATGTTATTTTTGGCCAGGAATCTTACTCACACAACATAATGGCTGGATAGAACTTTGGGCTGAAAAATGTGGAAACTGAACTTTATCACTGTGATTTCACATGTAAAAGGCAGGCAGTACAGCTAACATTAAAGAATCTACTGTATCAGCTGGGCAGAATCCTCCCTCAGCCATGCAGCAGCTGGCATGTCAGCAGCTTGAGGTGTTCTCGTGATCAATGTGTAAACTCGTCATGAGACGAGTGAAAACTCTGCCCACGCTCAGAGCTGGGCCAGATGCAAAAGTTGAGAAGCTGAAAAGCTCCATGTGTTAATTCCTGTACGTGCCACGCTGAAAAAGCTGCTGAGCTTCCCAACCGCTTGGGTCTGCAAGATGGTCTAAGCACCAGCACCTGGAAGCACTGCAAGCAGAGAAAGCAGTGCAGCTCTCACTCTGAAAGTTGCCAATACATACAGTTCTGGGTTTCATCAGGGCAAACACAAGCTTTTTTTCAGGTGAACAAGCTGAAACAGCCAAACGTCATGCTAATCAGTTTGAGTTCCTCTCTATTGCTTTTTATCCAGGCAGGTAAGCCATCAATAAAAAAAACCCAGAAACCTAAGTGTTAGCAAGTTCTACTATACACAGGTATTTCCCTCCCTGTGAATCATGAATATAGAGCAGCACCAACAAGCAGTGAATGCAATGTCCAGTGTCTACAATGATCTGACAGACAAAAAAAGAGATAAAATAAAATCAAGAGAGTTCAGGAAGCACTTACAAGTCTTTGCTCTGCTTCATCCTATGAATGTCTTTAAGAATGCCCATCATGTCTGCAAAACTGCTGGCCTTTGAAAGAGACACAGAATCTTCCTCGTCAGGATCCTTTGGTTCTGGTTTACAACACTCGGAGGTTGTAGAACAAAGCATGGAGACTGACGGGAGCTCGGGGCTTTCGAGTTCTGCCTCCTCCTCTGTGATATCGCTAATGACAAAGGAAGTTGTAGATTGGAAAGAGGGTCCAAAACAAGGTAAAGGAGAAGATGCATTTGAACTTCCTGGAGATAAGAAGTCTGGTGTTAATGAAGCAGAAGCTGAAAAAGAAAACAATATAGGTGGAGAGATAAACTAATACCAAACCACATAGGTATTTTTTTCCCCAAAACAACAGAATATAAGAGGCATCATCAGCCAGCCTCCCCCATGCTATAAGAAAACAAATTCATCATATTCTGTCACCCTCCATGTCCACGCTGCTTCCTGCGACACCGTGTTGCAACACAAGACCTTCTCCAGTACCTTTTATCCCACCAACCCCCTTATGTATCTCTACTCCTTTCATGCCCATCACCATATCACCCCTCCAGTTCAAACACTGCACTCTGTCCCTGCAGAAGTTGCGTAATGTTTACTTTTTTCCATTTTTACAGATAAGAAATGGAGGAGCAGAGGTTTAGCTGCTGCTCAGGGTCACAGAGGGAGCCTGTATCAGAATGTAGGTCTTAATTGTCTTAACTTCCCTCCTCTTTTTCTTCATCACCTTGAGAACTGCTTGCCTTTCTTTTCCTTTCAGGCTCCTTCCCCCCTAACTATTACACCTGGTGAGAATGCAGAGCCAGTTCAGGAGCTCCAGCATTTTGCACTAAACAGTCACAGCAATTCACTCTGTGACTGCAGGCATTTTGACCTGTTTTGCTCTCCATCACCATCTGTAAAATGAGAATAGCACCCATGTATTCCACAGGGAAGATGGGATTTATTTGTTCAGGCTTTAAAGTGTAATGGGGATAAGAACAGCTATAAAAATTCCGAGTGTTATTAAGTGAAAATGAGTTAGATATTTCCAGTGTAAAACACTAAGGGAAAACAACCAAAAACCCAGAAAAATGCTTAGTGCACATCTCCTTGAAAGAACCTTCCTGTATGGAAAACAAACTGTACCTAAAAAAATAAGCACTAATGCCCTTGGCCTCAAGAGTAAACTTGTAGATAGTTATCAATTTCCAATTAAGGGATTTCTCTAACAGTATATAATAAAGCAGATTGCACAGTATTTCTTTTTTGACATCAATCTTTCCAAAATAAGCCTGCTAAATAGTTATCTCCTTCATCAGATTACCAAGCTACAGCTAGGCCCTAAATCACAGCTCCCCATTATTGACTTAGAGGACGCGAAGTCAATACGAACTGTTCTCAAAATGCCAGCTGATAACAACCAGGCACATTGCTGAGTAGAGAGGGAGAGAAAAAGGTATTAAATGATTAAATCATTTTTCTCCCATTTGGATCTCTAATTTTCCTCGTTATTACTCTCCTTGAATTAAAATGGACTTTTCTAGCACACAGCTTGAGCAACTGTAGAGCTGAGACAACACTTAGAAGGAAAAAAAAAAAAAATCACAGAATTTCCCCTGGTCTTTATTCCAATTTGTTTGTTCCTCTGATCTTGCATGAAGAAGAAAGAGGACACACGCAGCCTCTCTGAAGGGGACATCTGTGGTGCCTTGTTTTACGCTTATTCCCTGCAGAGCTGAGGGTAATGTGGCTCCCTCACCCCCAGAGCGGCTTCATTTTACCATGCTGCTGTAAGAGTCAAGTGGCATACACGATCCCATGTACTGTGACAGGACCAAAGATGATAAGAAACACCAGCACAAGGAGATGGGTACTCTGTGAGTGTGCATGGATCATCAGAAATACCTAATCTCATCTAAATGCAACTTTGCATGCTAAAACCATCCCATATATTCTCATGTGGCGGCATATATATTTACATTATTGGTATCAAGTAGATTCTTAAGAGTCCATTGACCACCCCACAGAACTGAAAAAGAACCCCAAATCTCTCACATAGAAACCAGATTTCAGCTAAATCAAACACTACAACTCTGTTTCATGTTCAAATGTGTTTACAGCTCACGGATAGCTGGACTAAATATACGCAGCCATTAAACCTCCAAGTCCCTTGGGGCTACAATAATCAGACAACCACGTCGTCTTTCGCAGATCATGAGAGATTTGGTCTCCTGCACGCACCATGCAGTGCAGCACAAAGTAGCAATCTGGGAATTAAAAAATATTTTCTTTCAGATGTAGGATAAGGAAGGTTTCATCAGCCACTATTACCCATTATAAACAGGAATTAACCTGCCTGATACATTCCAAGTGTGGCACAATCCTGGTTTTTGGTTTGCCTTTCTTTTTTTGTTTGATAATGGGAAGAATTATAGGACCTTCTTTCCCCTGGAAAGCAGCCATAATACAGCTGTCGCCTTGGTTACTGGCAAAAGTATTCTGCACACAAGAAACACAGCTTTTAAGAAAAAAACTGTCTTCAAGAAGGACTAAATTCCTTTAGTTTGCAAAACTGTTCAATGTTTTTGAGTTGAGAGATTGACAACTCTGCCTTCGGAACACTCCATAAATAGATACCAACATATTTCTATCTTACTAGTTTCCACATTCTAAACCAGCCACTGTTGCAGCAAGCCTTGTAGAACCACTTGGATTTGGATCCTACCAAATACCATCATATTTTCAGAGCTGAGTATACAGCAAAAACCATGAAAGGAAGAGAAGTAAAAAGTCTTTCCTCACAGTTCAGCTTTGTGGCTAAAACACGGCTATTAACTGCCCACAATTTTACTAAAAGAAAGAAATAAATAGTTCAGCTAGGCTTTTCCCCAAATACATTATTTGCTACAGAAACGGCACTGTCGTTTTCCTAACAGAAACAAACACATCTCACTCCTACCCAAATCAAAATGCAACCCGCTCACTCCTGGCCGACTTGGAGCAGGAATGGCAACAATACACCAAATGTTTTAATGAAACAAGGTGCTTGAGATGAGAGTCGGTCTCTGGATCAAATGCAGTCACAAAACAGCACTTGGTATTTCTTAAAAACAAGCAGGGCTCCTCCAGTGAAACAGATGTGAACACCTAAACACAGAACCAGCACTGAGCTGACACCAAAGACAGCGTCCCACCAATGGGAGCCACAGCTCTGCTGGAAAAAAAACCAGGCAAGTCTGCTCTGTGTGGAGGAAATAACATGGTTCACTAATTCAGCTCTTCTCGTTCAAAAAAAAAAAAAAAAAAAGCTCATTATATTCCTACCTGACTCTGCAGCCACTATTTTAGCTATCTGACTCCGAAGGTGACTCAGCTCATCCTGGAGCTCTGTTGTTCGGCTCAGTGCTGGTAAACCAGGTTTCTTCAAGGCGAGCAGCTTCTCCTCCTGCTTCCTCAGGTTGGGGACTGAAGCATTTCGCTGTATAACAGTGAAGGGACTCGGCTTCCACTTGTGCTTCAGCGGGCGAGTGTCACTTCTACAGGACAAAAACCTGTTGGTCATTTACAAGGTCCAGACCCCTCCATGACAACAATGTTCAGCAACGCTCTGCCTCCACCTCAGGACAGCAGAAGACTTCAACACAATTAATTAAGCCTCTGCACCGCTATGCTGTATGTACCACTGTATGTACCGCTGTTTAGATGTGCTGTGCTGCTGTATGTGCTCTCTCTCCATTAAAGGAACAGAAAGCCTGTCACAGAAATCATGACCCAACAGCACAAGATGTGGTGAGAGGACAGAGGGACAGAAGTCTGGGTGTGCTCACATGGTTTCAAGTCATTTCTCTGCTGGCAACTGTGTCTCCATGCCAGGCAGAGCGCTGGGTGCACATGGGAAATGTCACCCATTAACTTTTGCCTCTGACTTCAAAGGCCATTTTATCTTTCAGAAGCTACCCATTACTATTGCCCTGCTTTAAGGAAATTCAACTGACCAGAACCAAACTCCTGGGCGTAGAACATTTCAATCCCGGGAGAACTCAACTCTTCAACTTTCTAACCAGAAAATACCACAAATCAGGGGGGTTACTCTGCACAGATCTTTCAGTGAGTAAACTATGGCACAGCATAGGCTCTTAGCAGTTCCTACAGGAATTCCTCTCACGGTCCTTTGTCCAATTTTTTGTTTCTCCTGTCTCTTGGGAAAAATGTATTTTAACAGGCACCATAACAGACCTTGAGAGGACTGGAAGTTGTGATCGTGTGATCAATGTCCAGCCTACACTGTGCAAAATAAACCAGTGTATAAAAGTAAGGACCAGCAGACACAAAGAGGAAACCAACCTGACTCTGGCATATGTTTCTTCATCATCTGCTGCTATCCACACAATGTCTGCCAAGGTGGGGACTGGAGGGACATCATTTAAATAGAGCTCCGAAACATTTGGTAGAACCTAAAAAGAAAGTTACATTAAGGAGACAGCGGTCCTGTCTCCTGAAGCCACCCCAGATGTGCTGTACTGGCTGTCAAAGCCTTCCTCCCCTGCACCAGGTCTGCAGCTGCATCTGTCAGATATGTGACAGCAACACCATTCGGCTCACGGGAACGTAGCGCTTGCATGCGTCGGCTTCTGCACGTGTTCTTGGGCGTGTTGGTGTGTTACTGTGCTCTGCGAGACTGAACAGCAAAGCAGCAAAGGGATACTTGATACAGCTTAGCATGCTGCCAAGGCCACGTGCAATACTTCGCCACTACACGTCCCAGCACTGTCCTTGAGCTTAAACAGTGACGTAAGCGTTTCCATAAACCCTGTTTTACTGTTTAGGAAACACAGGCCCAGAGGGCAGGGGGCTTGCTGGAGGTTACACAACAAAGCACTCGTTCAGCAACTCCATGTTTCTGTCTCCTCTAGCTTGCTAACCCAGTCCACAGACCCTATTTCAGGAGGTATTTTCCTCAAGCTGCCAACAATCACTTACAAGAACAGAATTTCCAAAAAAAGGAATAAAACCCTCTTAACTATACAGCTACATGAGTTTTGTGAATACAACTCTGCAGACACATGCGGTTGACAGAACAGCAGCTTGTGACAGCACCTTGCTTTGCTCTGGAGCAGCAGCTTCCAATATGTGATCACCAGATCCCTTATGAATCTGCTTACCTCAAAGGTTGCTCTGGGACAGGGTTTTAAAGGGAGGTTTGACCCGATCCTCCTGACAACGCTGCGTGCTGAGCCATGGGGTTTGTTCTGCCAGATGGGGATCGTCTACAAGAATCCATGTGATATCATTAATAGTTTGAGTCAGTTGCCCTTCTTAAAATGTATGAAATTGGAAACTGTGCTATACAATCAACTCAAGAGCTCTGATCTCTGACTTTTTATTTGTTGAGTGGTACTTTTAATTGAGAACCTGCTAATAACTGAGGTTATTAGCTTATTCCATAAACCGGTGTTTCAGCTGAAAGTCAGCCAGTTACTTAAGGAGCATTTTAAACACGGGTGGAGTATCTTCAGGACTGAAAACTAAAAGCACTCAGTAACAGACATTGAGCTCCAAATGAAAACATGCAAAAAGGAGGAAAACAGCATCACATGAGGGGCCCAGGAGAAAAATTAAATCAGAAGAAAGACTCGTTTAAAGGAACACTCTCGCTTCCACATGGTCTTTAATACAAGCAGCACTGATAAGACTGTAAACGTTTCTTGGATGACGGCAAAATGACAAATGTACTCAATGCCTATGCCAGCTGAGGGCCGATGAGAGAATGTTTTCAGCCTTAGAGAGTGTTTTCAGAAACAGCAAATGTTTTAGTGATCTCTGGATGCTTCTGAATTGGATTCAAAAGGTGAAGTGCTCTGTCTGCCCCTCTGCCAGTTTTACGGCCATCACAGGCTCTTGTGACAGGAGGGAGCACAGGACTCGGGACAGCGAACACCACAATGACAAACCGGAATCCAAACAGGTTATATCGCTCAGTCCACCAACAAATCCATTCATGGATTTATCGCTGGGGCTTGTTATGCATGCAATGCTGGAACGTTGGTCTTACGCAGTTACATTTTAAATTCCTGAGGTATATTTTAAATTGAATCTCCGAGCTGGGAGCGCACTGACCGCTGTGACGGCCCTCTGGCTACCGGCCACGGGAGAGCTTGGGGTGGTGAAAGGGCCCGGGAAGGGAAGGGGGCCCGTGGGCGGTGGTGAAGGCTCCCGGGTGCCCGCCGGTACCGGGAGGCGTTTCGAGCGGCCGTTACACTTACGGAGTCCGCTGCCATCTCCGGCTCTGGCGGTGGCCGCCGGGGCGGGCTCAGCGCTGGGTGCTGCGGCTCCCGCAGGCGCGGACCGGGCTCATCTTACCCCGCTCCCCGCCGCGCTGGCGCTTCTCACTGGAAGACAGAAGCCACTCGCTGCGGGCACTGCCGGGGCCGGGGCCGGCCCAGGCCCACACGGAGCCCCCGGGGCCGAGCCAGGCGCCCCTCCCCGCCACCCCCGCGGCCAAGCAGCGAGCCCGCGTCCCTCGGCCGGTAGCCTGAGGCGCGACCAGCCCCGCTCCCGCCCGCTGGCCATCTCCCCGAGGCCCCGCCGGTACCTGAGGGACGGCGGTGCAGCACGGCCCCGCCGCCGCCATTACCCGGAAGCAGAACCCGCCCCCCGCGTTTCCGCCGCCGCCGCCCGCGCATGCGCCCCTCGGACAAGGAGGGGGGGCGGCTGTAATGGCGCCCTGAGGGGCGTAATGGCGGCGGGAGGGCGGCAGCGTCGCGGGTCACCCCGCTCCACGCTCACACCGAGCCATTCCCGCCGCCCCCGTCCCACCCAAAGCCGGCCCCGCTGTCCCCCCCTCCCTCCAGCCCCCCCTTCCCGCCCCGTCCGCCCGGAGGCAAGGAGTGCAGGAGGCCGAGGGTGGTGGGATGGGTTTAACGAGTGCAGCTACAGCCGGGGCCCCAGGGCCCCCTCACGCCAACCGGCACCGAACCGCGCGGGGCTGCTTCTCCCCCCGGACCCTCGCTGAGAAAACATCGGCTCTGGCCCCGTGTGGGTTTCGGACCAGAGCGTCACAAAGCCCAGGAGGTGGGGAAAAGCAGCACCTCCTCCCCCCCTCAAGAGGTATCACAAACCTATCAGAAAAAAAAAAAAACAACTTAGCAAGTTTACAAAGAGGAGACAAAAAGCTTGGCACGTATTAATAAAAGCCTCAGGCAACAGCTTCTGTCCGGAGCCCACCCACAGCAGCGAATGGGCAGCAATAGATCAATTAGGCAGCTTTGCAGTTAACAGGGGACACAGGTGAGTTCCCCCCGGACCCCCCAGATCGCTCCAGCCTGGGGGCGGCTGCTTGGGCTCCTTCTGCCACCCTTCGGACTAACCCCAAGCTCGGACAGCCCAGGAGCGCTGCGAGGTGGCTCTGGGCAGAGCTGCGAGAGCCCAGCGGTTCACCAGAGGAAAAAACCACAAGGTATTTTTGGGGATGCCGAAGGCTTCGTGCAAGCCTGGGCTCACCACAGGCTCAGGCATGGACCCTACTTGTGCGTGGGACTGTCGCAGGCACCGTCGCTGCCAGGGAGCTCTGCTTCTGCAGGATCAAATGAGCGATGCTGCCCTGTGCAACTCCCGACCTCGGCACAGCGTGAGGCTGAGGGGCTCCCCCGGCCCTGCGGAACTGCTGCTGTGCCTGTTTTTCCAAGCCTTGAAAGACAAAAGCAATCCCTGCCTGCCCAGCCACTGCCCTCTCCAGCCCCTTCTGCTGCAAAACCGGTGGGAAGGATAAAGAAATGGAATGAACTCTCCACCCGAGCACAACTGACAGATGCAGCCTGGAAGTCCGAAGCCCCCGACAGAGGGGCTCAAGAAAGTTGCAGCAAAAATACCTCATGTGAAGCTTTGTAAAAGCCAGAAGGGCAGATCTATGCTGCAGCTGTGCCTCCCAAGGAGCTGGGGGGAGGCAGGTACTCGGTCTCCTCTGCTGCTCTCTGCTCAGACGAAAGTGCCCTGAAGGGACAAGACCAAAGCCCCCCAAAGGGACGAGACCACCTGTGCGACAGGAGCTCGGTCTCAAACACTGCCTGGAGGCTTTGGCACTTTCTGCAGCTGAAAGCGCTGCCAGATCCAAGCCTGTCATTACTGCAGGCCCCTTGGAGTGCAAGAAAAGTGCAGAGCTAATGCATAGTTATAAAGCCGATACTGAGAAACATCCCAGGGGTAATTAATCTCACTAGAGCAATTAAGTGAAGTTACACTGGTTCAGCCCAGAGGTCCATCTAAGCTCAGTCTCCAGCCACGGATACAGACAGGAAGGCTGGGGCAGGGTGGGGACAGGGTAATCATGATGCCTGGGTTCCTCCCAGGTCGTGGAGCCCAGGAATGAAAATACCCATTAAAAAAAAAAAAAAGGCTTTTCTCCCTTTTTCTCCCTGTTTGATTTGGTCCAACAGAATTGTGCTTCAGAGAGCAGAAAAAGCATCAACAGCCATGGCTGTTTGCAGCCATCTATTGAAGATGCTTTGTCTCCTCACCTATCTACAGGAATATACTTTAAAACCCGTTTCATTTAACCTTTCCTTCTCCAAATTATGCTCAGTCTGTAGCCAGACACTGGTACAGAGTAGGAGCAACTGCTCAGGGTGGTTACAGATAAGGGACAATGGCATTCTGTCCTAACAATTTCTTTGGAAAAATCTCCTGAAAATTTTCTTTAGTACTGCTGGCTTTTAAAACTGCTCAGTTCTCAACCAGTTAATGCTCTCAGGGCAACACTGAACTTGGAATTTCCCAAAGGGAACTTCATCGTGGTTCATCGTTCAGCGTGACTTGGAAGCTCAAAGCAAACATGGACAGAGCATTTCAACATCTCCGAGGAGACACTGGGAGAACAAAGCTCTCAAAGCCAGTGGGGTGGGAGCAGCCCTGGGCTGAACAGGGTGGGGGCACTGCTCACTACCATGTCCTGTAGCCTGGAGTGCACGTACTGCACTGGTAGAGCTCGTGGGGCTCTGACCCCTAATCCCCCCCGAGTTAATTCACCCCTGACATCTGAGCTGCACCATACCTCTAAATGCCCTGGTCTCCGTTCCTTAATTTCACTGTGTCAACCTCAGCACCTCCCTCAGATGCAAAGAACCTGAATAAGTGAGATGGCTCTCCCACCCCGTCACACAGGGTGCTGGGAGGAGGCCATTCCAGAGCTCAAGCCTCCAGTTCGAACCTCCTACGTTCATGTCTACACATTACCAGCTATAGTCCCATTATGCATTGGTTGCCACTGCTGTCAATAAATGCCATCGTGAAGAGCTGGCATCCAAGCCACCAGGCAGCTTACAGCTCAGAGCTGCTGCTGGCGAGGAGGTGTGGAGGACACCGGCTACCAGGAGGGAACTTCCCACCTGTGCTGGATTCTGCGCCTTCGCCCACAGGGCACAGGCGCTCACCACGAGTGTTCGGTCGTAATGGCAATGCTGTTCTCCGTGATTCAACACACAGTCCAGTCCTTGAGATCAGGGGTTTCCGGGTGACGCTTGGTACAGCTGTTACGCGAGTTTCACCACAGAGTCTGAACAGGAGCTGGAAAAACACGAGGGTGGGTGGCAAATCAAGGTGTATGCACCGAGAATGTTTATAGATTCAAGTATTTTCACTCCTGTAAAAATTTGCCTGAACTCAAAAGGGCAGGTTATGTAAACTGGTATCACTTGAAACTTAGCCTCAAACCAACATCCAGAGCAAAGCCCCGGTCCTGGGACTGTCTGCATCTTAACATCAATGTCTGGCATGAAGATGAGGAAGAATTGCTGTAATCAAAATAGATCTCTGAAGTCTTTGGCCATCTCTGTGGGGCATTCAGGTGCCTTTGTTTTTAGGTCTGCAGGTATGGTTTTGCTCTTTGCAGTCCTTCCTTCAGGAACTGGAGGTAAGTTGCAGTTGAAGGGTCTTCAAAATTGGTTGAGAAACTAAAGATGCTGCTTTCAACATCTTCAGGCTTCATAGAAGTAATATCCAGGAAGTAGTTGGCATTGATATGGTGAATCTGGGAAAAAAAACAGATGAGGAGACTTTAAGGGCCAGAACAATTCCCCATCCACTGCCTTGGCCTCTGGCCAGGACATAGGTGACAAACTGTAACAACTCTTAAAGAATCTCTAATACTTTGCAAATGCTAATTCAGCATCCAGGATTCAGGTTTGCATTTTATGGTCAGAAAAAGAGGTACGAAAGGCAACAGTCTGCTTCTTCCCTCAAGAGTGCTGACCCCTCACTTAGGTTAAGAAGAAGATGAAGGTGATTTGGGAAAAATCATGCAGGCGTAAAACCTAGCTCTGAGCAAGGGCTGGGGAGATGGCAGCCCGACCACGCTGACTGCTGGGGTGTGTGCTCTCAGCCCAGCTCAGCTGCAAAACCGGCACCTGAGCTTCAAATGCCTCTGTGCTTTCCGCTCCCCCATGGAGGTGGGAAAGGGGGACATGTGGCCACTGAACATGGCAACCTCAACAAGCTGAGCTGAAGCCACCACCCGTCCCTCATCTGGAGGGGAGCCACTAAAGAGACAGCAAGGATTCACTGCACGTGTTACTAGCTAATATCTGGCAAGTGTGGGGCACAATCAGATTAGCCCTGGCAGGATCCTCCGCTACAGACAGCCTGGCTGCTGACACACAGCAAAGCACCGCACTGTCAAGTGTCAGGGACTGCTGTCACTCTTCAAACCCAAGGCGGGGGGGCTGTTGGGGAGCAACAGCAGAGCTGAAGCACATGGACTTGCTAATGGCTGATTTGCTGTGACAAACTTGGGGAATCAAGATAAATGTGCTAGAAGGTGCTGATAAGGAGGGATTTTCTCCAAAGCATAAGCACAAGGGACAATGGGTGCAGGAAACAAGCTACAATGGCTTCCCAAAGGTCACTGACTCCAACCAGGGACAATGAGGAAACATAGGCAGACATTTGGTTCAGGTCTAATTGTTCTCCCCTCCCTCCACCCAGAGCTGCTGTTGTTCTGTCTCTGAATAAAAAGACATTTGTTTCAGATTTCTTGGTAGAGCTGCTGTCTGTCTGCCGCAGCATCCCTCAGAGCACAGCACTGTGAGGGACTGTAGTCCCACAAAGGCTCGAGGAGCCAGGGGATGGCTAGGGGAGCAGACACTCACTTCAGGGTCTGCAGATGACCCTGAAAAGAGCACATTCTGATGGGAAGAGCCAAGCCCAGCTAAAGGGGTAATGAACATACCACTGTGCCATTGGGGAGGCAGATGATCATCTCCACGGGGAAGTTGTATTTCTCCAGGTGCAGGTCAGCCAGCTTGCTGTAGAACTCATTCTCTCTGTTGCTCTGTAAGGAGACCCCAAAGAAACATGCCTGCACGCACCAAAACTAGCAGAACAGCGCAGGAGGAGTACACCGAACGCAGGAGAAGGCAGACCGAAAAGCTACTCTGCAGCATGGCAGTAACTGGCTCTGTTCTCACTATCTGCTTTACTATTCCCTTTCAGTCAGTCTTCTCCTCACTTTTCAGCTGTAGATTTTCTCTCTGAACAATAAAATCACCCCATCACTGGCAGTTCCCAGGCGCACCAACAGCCTGATCCCAGCTTTTCCCAGACTCTCCAGCTCCATGATTGACCCCAGCTGACAGCACAGGCCCAGAGACAGGCTCGTAGGTGGGGAAAAGTGTGATCAGGAGACTCAGGGTTCAGACAGTATTTGTTTGCTCCCTGGGTTACAGAGAAGTCAGTTTGTTGATGGCACAAATGGCCTTGGGCAGGGCTATCTTGCAGTGAAGCATCTGGTTTAGCTTTTAAAATTGGCACCATGACAGAGTGAAAGGGGTGATGGTGCCATTTTCTTAGCCTGCCTCCATCTGGTGTTTGCTTGGCCCCTGTAATTGCTAGGACATGGAGGGCTTGGAACCGAAATCCCCCACTGGCACAGGTGTGAGCTCCCTGCTCCTGCTGGCATCCCCATGCCAAGCACTGTCTGCATTCACTAGCACTGAACGCAAAGATGGCAGATGTGGCTGTGACACTCACCTGCAGCTCTTCCAGCTCCTTCACCAATGACCAGCTGCTAATGAAGCTCTCATTCAGCAGGGCGAGGATGGGCGAACTTTCCAGGACGGTCTCCCGGAGAGTTCGCCCCGAACCTGGCATAGGAAGAGAGGCAGACAGTGGTTTGCTGTGTTTTCTGAGCTGATGTTTGCCATGTTTGATGCCACCGTGATGCCAACACTCTAGTTGCTGTGGCAGCTGGCTCACGCTCCCCCCAGCCTGGTCCACTGTCTTATTTCTGCTTTGTTGGCAGCTTTCCATAGCTTTTTATTTCCTGTTTGTGCTGCTAGCAGAGAAGACCCACCAGAGCAGACCCCAGCCACTTGCAAGGCAACAGAAGGACCAGGACAAGCTTGCCACAGAGACCGACTGGTGTGGTCCATTTAGGAAAGGATCAGGCCCTGCGGACCCACACTGAGTGCCTCTTGCTGTTCATGCCGAGCAGAGCCCATACATGCTGAAGAGTTTTTAAGGGCAGTAGGACTAAAGATACCTGCCCCTCTCCCACCCATCACTCCTGCCCAATGTGGCATGCAAGTTCTTAGGCATGGAGAGGGAAACAGCTACACATCAGGACAGCCCCAGGCCCACACATCTGGCTCTGGCTTCTCCTGTGCAGGTGTCAGGGACAAAGCAGAGAGCAGTGTCCCTTTCACCCTGCAGATGCTGCCTCTACCCACGCAGACTGAGAGGGGAAGAGAAAGGAGAAAGACCAGACCCATGCCTCTACCTTGAAAAAGCCACTTGAATTAGTGACTTGGTCTAGGGCTTGCCTCAAATAAATCTGATCCTGCCACTGCGGAGCTAAGCCCTGATCAGTAATTGCCCAGTTCCAGCCTTTTTCTGTTCAGCATCTTCAGTGCCGAAACGAGTAACACAACGTTTACCGCTGGCTCGTGAACAGCTCCCTGATCCCCAGCTCTTCTCAGAGCCTGAATGAGGTACATCATTCTTGCAGCCACACTGGGAATGTCCTCACCTCAGCAGGACTGGTCATCCAGGGCACCCCACAGCAGGATCGAGTGCACCAGCTTCTTTTCTGCTTTTGCTTTCTCAAAAGCTTGTGTGAAGGGAAGATAGGAGACCTGGAGGCAGAGAGACAGCTTGAGAAATAGACACAGAACAGCCCACCTCAAATACGAGCAGGGTCTGAAGGAACCAGACCTGCCACATCCCAGAGGTGACGCACACACGAGTTTTAATCTGCAGTATATTCTGCAGATCAAATGACAACTGTGGTACTTTCCCCAAGGACAACTTCATCTCCCAGTGAGATTGTAGCGAGCCCCTCACACAGCCTGTGGACTGTTACTGGCACCTGCAGAACCCTGTCTTTACACACTGCAGAAAGCATCTGCACAACTGCGGGCGGGCTGTCAACAAACACACCTCAGCAGCCTGGGAAATCTGGCCTTGAGATATTTATTACAAAACCTCACTGAAATGGTCTAAAAACTGGCTGTGAGGGACCCTGCACAGAGACTGTTCCAATCACTCAAATGAAGGGAACTTTATTAACATCCTGGCAGCTCAAAGGGACATTTGTAAGCTCACGCACAAGGAGGCAGCCATTGAAACGTGTCCCTTCAGCCAAGGAAGCAGTGACAGGCAGTAGCCATCTGCTCCACAGGCTACTGGCATGTTAAATAGTTTGGGTCACCCAATGCTATAAATTTGTGTCTCACTGCGGGATGCAGAGGCACAGGCGGATTGTGTGTTTTCTGCTGATAAGGAAAGCTTGGTCCAAAGGTAGCTGAACATTGCAAAAGTAACGCCAGAGGAAAACCATTTGTAAGCAGCGTGATTACCTGCTTCACTCAGAAACTGCGTTGGCAGCTACTGATAAGAGGAAGGAAGGATGAGCCTACATTTACAATACAAGCCTGGGACACATGACTTCTAGGCTTTGCTCCTGCCTGTGCTGCTGTTCGACCCCAAATGGCCTTTCAGAGATGCTGTACTCCCTCATCTGGAAACTGGAAGTCCATCAAGCCACACACAGTGTCTGGGAGGCACATGCTGAGCTGGGAGACCCTCACACTATTCTGAATGCTGACCAGGTTGTGACCTCTGGTTTCTGCTGGTCCTCGAGGTTACTGGACATCTCAGTGAAGATTACCCACCCCAAATAAATGTGCCAAGGAAGCACCTGGCCCCTTCCTCACCTTCTTAAATGGATACATGGCCACTTCCAGCTTCTGGGCTGCCTCTTCCCAGGGGATTTCCTGCTGCCAGGTTATCTCTTCAAACACAAACTGAATGGGCTCCCCTGAGGGATCCCTGCTGTCAATCACATTTCCATTCTCGTCATGGATCACAGAGGGGATTGAAGGCCCTGTCGATTCCAGCTCCATCTGCAGGAGAACAGGCTGAGTTGGACATTGCAGACACCCCACTCCTGGTTTTTCTGTACTCCAGGACAGGATAAAGATGCAAAATAAGACTGTGCATGTTCTAATGAAGATACAGCTTGATCTATTGTCTCCCGGAGCTGCACTTTATCAGTTGCAGATGTGTTTTATTGGGGAATAGCAGGAAAGCAACTTCATTTCCTTCAGTTATTGTCTGACTGTGCTTGCTAGATTGGAAAGGCATGAGACCTGTTCACTCCATGTTCCCACTTTCCCAGTGGAGATTTTTGACTGTGGGACACCAGATCCTTAAAATCATTGGGACCTGCAGGGCTAGTTTGAAGCTCTTGCTCATATGGCCAGCACAGCCCTTACACAGCCCGCGGCTAGCCACAAGAGGGTGCAAAAGGGAAAGCTGTTCAGGAGCTTCCCTGCAGTTCAGTGTTCTGGTACATCTGATATTATTTTGCAAGGCTCTTTTCCTGACTTTTCGCAATTAAAAAGAAACATGGATCTAGTTTAGGAGAAAATGGGACTGCTAAGTTCAGGCATTCAAAATCCTGACTTACATTTCCTGTCCCAAGAGCTGGGATTACCACATGCAGTTTCTAAATTCAGACACACTGTTGTTCGTACTCCCCTCTGGGCTCAGGGCCTGGGTTCAGCTCCTAATCTTCCCCCTGCCTGTCAGACAACTTTTTAAAAATGGAAAAAGTCGCATGACTCCAAGAGCTTAGGATTCAACCCACACAGAGGGAAAAAATAAAATATTACAAGAACTGGCAACAGGGAGCCACGCTGCTGCAGATGACATACACAGATCAACAGAGATTATATTATTATATTGAAATGTTCAAGAGAAAGCTCTAAAGAACAGGGATAACTGAGGTTATACAGCTCAGGACCATGGCAGCATAAATCCCTGCTGAGATGCTGCACACATATGGAGGACTGAGAGTGACTACAGACCTGAGGCAGGTAACCAATATCCACTTCCATGTTGCTGCTTTCACTCGCCCCATACAGCCACTCCATATCAACATTCAGAGACCTGCAAAGCGAACACGGTATGTTCAGAGTCATCCAAGGCTAAAGCTGTGTATGGGAAACCCCAAACAAATGAGAACACCCAGTGCTCCTCTTGCAGGGTCAGCACTGAAGCCCAGAGCCTCTGGCTCCTTGGAGATCACCGTGTTCCCTGCACAAGACCAGCAACACTAGATCCCTGCTGGATCAGGGCCCAGGCACCCACGCAACACTCTGGGCAAATGCGCTCACACCTTTGAGTACTGTCACAGTACAGAAGAGAGAGGTGTCTTTGCTCCCCCCTTCCTTCCCAGCACTTAACTTGCACATTCTGATCCTGCAGAAATCTTAAAAGTGTTTTTTGGAAGCAAAAGGCTTTGTAAGGAGTAGCTGGCAGAGCCGTAAGTGTCTGCTTGCTGTAACAAATGTGCTGACAGAGCCATAGGGATTGAGTCGCCAGGGTAATGTTATAATAGAATTTTCACTCCAGCCGTCACGGGCAAAGAGATTTGAAGCTTCTTTCCCCTGAAACGCTTCCAGCTGCTTGCCAGAGAGCAGGGATGAGCTAGTGCAAAGCTATGCTCACAAAACCTTAACCTGTGAAACACCAAGCAAAAAATATGTTGAAGCAAAAGCATCAGGCTTTGCTGAACTTCAGTGCTTTAAGCCAGGCACTGGGATTGCCAGGGGCTGCTCTCCACACCCTGCCTGTCTCTACCCATCCTCCAAGTACCAAGGGACAGCTACTGGTGAGCGAATCAGACCCTGAAATGGGTCAGGGATCCTCAGCAACTAGTAGGGATGCATTTGCCAGTTTTACAGACAACTGCAGAGCTCAATTCAGTCAGATTATCCAGGGACTTGGCTGAAAAGCGTGAGCTCATCCATCACAGACATGTTCTGCAGCTTCCAACAGGTATCTGACATCTGCAAGAGTCCCTGCCACAGCCAGGGACTGCTGGGACAGGTCAAAGGGAGCAGTGCTTGCAGCAGTGCTACTAACAAAGAGGCTGCTGCCTGCCTCTAGGGCAGTATCAGGACAACTTAAATTTCCCATCCCTGTGTGCCTTCCCATGGGCCTGCAGTACCTCCCTCTAAAGTGGTTTGGCACAGGACAGCTCAGGCTTGGACGCTCAGTTGAAACACATGCCAGTTGCAGCCAGGTTGTGCAAGGACAACTATCCTCAGTCCCATGCTCCATGTTCCCAGCAACCTCTGCCCTGCTTCTCCCATGTCCCTCCTCTGCCCTTGTTCTTCCCTGCCTCTTCCAAGCCAGATGCCCCTCAGACCTGTTGATAAACAGAGCTATTCCTGAAAAATTGCATCAGAACCTGTTTAGGGAGCAACTGTATCTAGAGAACTGAGGACATGATGACCGTGATGAATGCTGGCAGAGAAGGATGTGTGGGGAAAACAGATAAGCAAACAGCAGAACCAGCCTGCCCAAAGCTCAGACTGCAGATCTGCCTTCCCTGCACGGGCCAGGATGCCCACATACCGCAAAGGACAGAGCTGTCACCGCACGCATATCTTCATTAAAAAAGAGCCCACCAGTCTCCCCCATGCACAGCCCCCACTCCTGCACAGGACAGGATCCCAGAGCCCCTGGGTTCCACTGGGCTTCATTTAAAACAATCCTCAAGTCTGTTCAGCACCCAGGAAGAGAGAGAAACAGCTGTACCTGTTGTTAGGGACGAAGAGCTTAAACTCTCGGACATGGGAAGAATCCTTGGAGAGGATGATGTGACCTGTAAACTGGCCTGGGGAAAACCAGAAAGGGAAGTCTGGTGGCTCATTCAGCTGGAATTCAGCATGGATCCTGAAACAAGAAAGGAGCCATCAGCTGCAGCACCAGGAGGACAGAATGGATTATGCATTGCAGATGACAGCAGGGAAGTTATCTCCAGGCACCAGAAATTACGAAGCTAAATTGGGGCTAAGGTTCAGTTCAAAAAGCTTTCATGTCACACAATGAAGAGGGTAAAAGGTTGGAGCAGATCCCCTGTGTCAGGATCATCTCCAATATTGATGTCTTTTGGAACTGGGCAGTAAGTGCCCATCCAGGAAGGATGAATTACATTATCGTTCCTTGAAACACAGGAACAGACTAAGACCCATTCAGCCACCCTTTCAGCCTGATCAGGCAAACAAAAGCTGCGTGTAACACTTCCAGTAAAACACGAGAACAATTCCCCAGACTCTCCCCCTTGGAAAGGCACTCCACCCCCATTAACCAAAATCTAACAAATTTCTTGCTAATCAGACTCTCCCCTTTCAGCCAGGGATAGCTCCAAACCAAGGGTGATGGAGGATGGCTGCTGTCCTGCATGTGGGCAACAGTCCCTGCCTCACCAGGGACTCAGTGACACTGGGAGCACGGGTGCCCTCTTTGGGTGTCAGCAAAGCATCACACACGGGCAAGAGCTGGCTATGAACCGCCCTCTTCCCTGAAATGCTTCACCTCCCTCCCAGCCAGGACACATCGGATCTTGTTTGGGAGTGCGACTGCACATGCAATGACATGCACACCCTCTGCCACAGGCTCACAGCAGCCTTCTCCACTTCCCTGAGATATGGAACAAATTCAGAAGTGCCCCCAAGCCCTCCTCTAACACCCCAAACCCATGGCCTTACCTGAACGCTATCGTGTAGTAGAACGTGCTGACGGCTTGGATGCAGGCCACAGCTCCTTGGGGAGCAAAGCGGGTTTTGACAAAGGGGCGTGGGTGGAACATGCTCAAAAGCCTGTGGATTATGATCTAGAGAAGGGATTGTAAGAGAGCAAAAATGAGAACAGTTCCTCTACTGCAGGTCAGCTGCAGCTCCAGAGTAACTCCCTACCAGATCAGGAAGGCAAGAGAACTGCTATGACTTAAAAAGTAGCTCAGAGACCTACCTAATCACAAAACAAGGAGACAAAGCAAAAGACTGCTTTTAAAAATAAATCCATCTTCCACGCTTTTTATGGTATTTCCATTGTTTGCAAGTTTCCATCATCCCAGTCAGTTGGATGTCTGAGTACGGTAAACTGATCTATGAGGCTGCCTCCATCAATACTACTTAAGACTTTGAAAGAGTGGGTATGCAATCAATAAACACACCAGGCTGCGAAGGTGTATCAACTATGTGATCACTAACACCTACCTGGGCACCCTGGGGGAGAGCAATATACACGCCTGCCTCTACAAACTATGTATACACATTGTTTCACTTGTCAATGAAACGCCTACCTCTGGGGTGGCACTCGGCAACTGTTCCACAAGGCACGATTACTTCACAGAAGCGCTTTCTGAATAACCCTCTCCCCTACCTGTCCAGGAAAGACTCGCCTAAAAACCCAAACGCTTAAAGAAAGCAAGATGAAGTTACTCAACTCAGCCTCATCTGGCCATAACAGATGCCCAGAGCTTTTGCCTGCTCTCCATTTACCTCCAATTTAGGAGATGCTGCTCCTGGCTGTATGCTGCAGCCTTTTTGCTCCCTTAGAAAGTCCAGGGAGACATAATGCAAAAGCCTTGTCTGCTCTAGGGACTCCTGTGATTCATCTGGGCTATAAGGCAGAACATTTATACAAACTACCTCTCAGGTATATATAAATTGAGTTTCATATCTCACCTCTTTGCCCTTGGGAGGCGGAGGGTAAAATCTGTTGTTGGAAAGATACCCAGTGAAGATGTTCAATTCACTAGGAATTATCCACCATGGATCCCCAAGATCCAGTTTATTCTTTGGAGGAAGAAAGGCTTTAAACTGTCTGGCAAGCATCACGCTCATAGGGGCTGCTGGGGCAGTCCAATTCCTCAGCCCAGACAGAGCAACATGAGAAATCTGCAAACAAAAGACACTATCAGAGCCTAGACTGGCCTCTTCAAACATGCAGTAATGCTGATGGATGTAAGTAAGCTTTGGAGAAGGGGAAAAAAAAAAATCACATTTCAAATTCTTCCTACCAGCCCAAACACCACCAAATAGTTCTGTCAACTTTCAATTAAGTGAGTAATAGGAAATGGGAGAGAGGGGACCATACCACATATCACCACTGCTTTCGGACTTAGCTCCAGGAGAGCCATCTCTAATGTCTGCTTCAAGCTGCCCAGGAAGGGCGTATTAATTGGGGCACAGTGTTGCTGAGTGCACTGAAAACAATGAAATGCTGCAGAAAGCAGCGAGCTTGCTCGTCAAAGCAAATCCCATGGGCTTGAGCAACACCATCTCCCCCTCCTGATATGCTAGCATTTATTCCAGCTGATGTTACCAGCCCATTGGACACGTTTATACCAGAATTTCTGGCCATACATATCCTGCACGACACCTACTCCCAAGAAACCGTCTTTGCTCTTCGTCATCGTTTCCATGACCAAAGGCTGGAATTTAGCCACAACGGACAACGTCTCCCCGCTTGGATCAGGTGTCTCCTCCTCTTCAAATTCTGAGATGGGAGCAACCCCTAGACAAAGGGACAGGAATTTAAGCAGCTGTTTCCCCTCCCTCCCTTTTTAAGCAATTGTGAAGTGATTACACGTTTATCCTGGCAAATCCAGGAGCACTGGGAGTTTCCCAGCTGTCCCTACGCTGTATGCAGCGGCAGAACTCAGACCCACCCCAGAGACCAGCTTCAGCTGCATGAATTAAAGGGGAGCCCTCTTTTTAGCGGACGACTTTCTAAACCCCATCGCTCAGTTAAGCCGCCTCATTTCACCTAGAAGGGATCAGAACACATGCTTTAGCCAATTCATTACAGCACAAGCAAACAACTGTCTGTATTTCGACTGTACTGTAAGCTCTCCTGTATATTATAATCACCATGCTTCTTCCTGCTTGGCACCACCAAGAGACATTTGCCACGCACTGGTACAGTCTCCAAACATGATCTCTCACAATTGCTATCTGGGAGAGCCTGCTACAGCTGGAGAAGCGTATGAATGAAGTGCTGCGACTCACTAACAGTTTTGGCCTAGCCTGGGCTGAGCTGTATTTGTTGCATTCACCCATCCCAAATCCCCTTTAAGCTCTAGACAAAGTAACTTATGTACTTTGCTAGTCCAGCAATGGGATCTTCTGTCTTATAAAAACTCTACTTTGTGAAAGTGATGTCTAGTGCTTAAGCCTTTTCAAAAACATGTAAAGCTTAGCAGCCTCTCCTCATGTAAATAAGACCCAAAACAGAAAAAAATAAAGACACAGATAAAAACTGCTGAGTGCATTATCTTTGCCTCTTGCTCAGTCTGTGCAGAGAGAGCTCTGCAAGGTAGATAGATACCTACCCGTCAGCTTTTCAGCTATTGGCTTGAACTCTTCCGGACTGAGGTACAGATCATTGTTTGTGTCCAGAGAAGAAAACAGAAACAGACCCTCACTTCCCAAAGACTTCAGGGCCAGCTCCTAGTTTGGGAAGAATAGGCAAGTGAGCTTTCATTCTAGCCTCTTGCAGAAATTCACTCCAGCCCCTCTCAGCTTCAGAGTTAATTTGCATTCTTTCCAGCGCACAAACACAGCCATCAAATCGAAAGATTAACGCCCCTTGGCAGGATTTTGTGCTATTTACAACCGGGATCCGTGTCCAGGAACTGTTGGCATGAGCATATTAAAACTACATCTGGCTGAGTAATTCAAACTGAATCATTTGCTCTGAGTCGGCCTCAAAGTCTTTTGTCAGAAAAATTTCCAACTTTTTCCAGATAGTTAGTCCTAAACCTGCAGATATTCAGAGCACCTGGAGATTGTGATTTCTGTAATTAACTGATGCGCAGTGAAACAAAGGCAGTCAAATACATGACTATCCACATTGCAAAAACACAAAGGAAATGAACTGAGCCCTTGTAACTCTGCAGAAAGCAACTTAACTTACACCCGTGCTGAGATCCATGCCAGCATTACTGTACACAACTGCCCTGCTTTGGTCAGGATCCCCTCCAGGTCTCTAGCCTCAGGACTGGATGGAGCATTTCAGATCTTTGCTCCGCAGGGAGCACTGCCTGCTCATTCGGCCATACATCGGGGAGCCACAAATCCCATGGTCTTCTCCAGAAACTTCTGCAAGATCCCAGCCACGCTGTGCCTCAGTTTCTCCCTCTGCAAAGCCCACGCAGAGATCATCCAGTGGAAAACACTACTGAAACGCAATGTCTCCCCTGGAGCAGCCTCAGAAAGGCTCTAGATTCTTCTAGTCATTTCCACTCCACAGCACTTGGCAGTGAAAGGAAAGGAACAACTTGCAGGCAGAACAAGAGAGCTCCACGTTGGTGTGAGAGGAAGAGAGATGTAGCAAGTCAGACAAGCCACATCACTGCCAGCCAGCCTGCAGCACATCCCCTGTGACCCATCATTTGGGGCAGCTTCCCCTGCCACCCCCCGTAAAAGCCTAAAGCTGCAAGGATAAATACTCTGTATTCTGCTGTTTAACCGTGTTTATTCTCTACTGCCTGCAGCACCATTACCATCCCCAGAGCTCCTGAACTAGTTTATTTTCCATCTGTTGCCTGCCAGCCTGAAGCAGCACTAATGCAGCCTGGAAGGCTTTGCTCCTGTCAACTGCAGCAACAAAAGCACTTAAGAGCCTTCCAGGGCAGTTTTAGGACTGAAGCAGCCAAAAATAAAGACCCTGGAACACAAACCAGAGATCTGGACACAGACATGGCTGAGGAAAGACAAGGAAGGGAGCATGCAGAAACTACACAGGTGAAAGATGGAATGAAGGAACAGGATGGTTATTTATCTACACACAGGAATAATCCACTCCGGAGTGTCCAGGCTCCTGGGGCCAAAACTGTGCCTCTGCTCCCCAAATGAATGGGGATGCACATCCTTGGCCCTGTAAATAGATAACAACATTTTCCTGAGCAACTGCCCTGTTCCCTGACAGCCATGTGCCAGGGTCATGTCATGAAGCCTGGCCCAAGGCTTCAGTACCCCTCTCGGCTCTAGATCTTGCTTGTGCACGGCACGTAATGCATTAACCTCGCAAGGGCCCCTGTGATCGCTCACTGTCTGGGAGCTGGCTCATGGTGCAGGGAAGCGTGCTGGGAGCGCACGATGGCTTCCCCCTCTGCCGAGGAGGCTGTCCTGGATGCATACTGAGCTCTGAAGAGATGGTCCATTTCCTAGTCCTCTCCACAGAGCATCAGCGATTCCCTGCTGATGAATCTTTAAGAGTCTCTCTTCTTTTTGCACTTCACAGACACGGACCTCAAGGGATGGGAGGCAAATGAGCAACAAAGTTTTTAGTTGGTTAGACCGCCTGCTGCTTAGTATTAGGAAAAAGTCGTGATCATTTACTTAACAGGGCTGAAGGCAGAAAGGGAACCAGTTATACCCCACACATACAGAAGAACACCTCTGACTGCGTCTAAGACAGGAGAACATGAAGGGGGGAATACAGGTGCCTGGTGTTGGACATTAGCATCCAAAAATCAATCTACAGACAAGAATTGAGAGCATCCTCCCATCCACTCAGCCTGCACTTTCACATAGGTCAAGCAATAAAAAACCATCAGCTGCAGAACCATCAGATAATTATTCCTACAACCACAATTGGCCAGAGATGTGGTAGCTTTGCGGTCAGGCAACTTACGTGCACGCACACACATCTCACATGCGTGCCAGCAGCCGGCTGAATGCAGCCTCCCTGCTGGTAGGTTTGGTACCGGGCTCCTGCCTCCTCCAGACAACGCTGCCCTCTCCAGTGCAGGTTAAAACAGCCACTTCTCCAGCAAAGGCGTGCTCCAGGCAGTACTGGCACAGTGCATCAGTTCTGCACAACCCTGCAGGACAGATCGCTCCCTCTGGAAACATTCATTTCTACGCTCACAAAGCACGGCAGCTCAGCAGCAGCATCGCACGAGCCCCTATGCACAGCCTCACCACTGGGACCCCAGGGACCCACCCAGCTGGAGATAAGACCCCAGCCATGGAGGAACAATGACTTCTGCAGAGCATGCACCCATCTTGCTGTACTCAGTCAAAAGGGATGATAAAAATTATGTTTAAAAGGGTAGAGAGATGTCAGGGCTTTGCCCTTTGCTTCCTGATAACATTCATGTTAAAGAAAGCTCTCCAGAGCTTGTGGTTTTTTTCTTTTTTCTTTCTAATCTGGGATTATAAGAAATAAAAAGTTTCCCTGTTTGTGCCAGAGCAGTAAGACTGATCTTTTTCAGTCTTTTTGTAGAGGAAGAGAGTTGTGGTTTTCACAAAGAGTTTTCTTCTCCCACCTGCTTGTGGGTTGTTTAGCTAAATAAACATTTCCATAGAAAGAGACAAGACATATGTTTTAAGCAAGATGAAGGAAAAATAAAAACCTTGGGCTGTTCACATTTTGTTCTCCTCTCCAGCAATGCCCAGTCACAGCCGTCTGCCTGTCCTCTGGGAAACACAAAACCTCCACAAGACCTGGCTTTTCGTCAAGCAGGGCTGAGGTCCTCTCAGCCAGCCTGTGAAGGACTGCCCTGACCCTTCTGCCCCTGTCAGAGGAATTCTTCTAATTAACTGGTTTGAGCCATTCTCCCCTTTTTGCAATGCAAGAAGAGACAAAGAAAAGAGGCATCATTTAAAACCACTTGTCTTTCTACCATAGAAATATCAAGAACAAGACGTCTGCTCTTTCCCATGAACCTTTTTAGATGTTCAAGGATGCACGCCCAAGTGAAGAGCCAGGGGAGTACGATCTTTAACAAAGGCATGCTTTCTCCAAAGCATGCAGCAGCCATTTGAATTATACAGATTACAATCAAAACCAATGTCAATTAGCCTAATTTAAAAAAAAAACAAAACACAACAAAGCCCCTAAAAAGCCTTCCCATTTTTCAGCTCACATCCTCCACTCCTTTGCTGTTTCTACAGTCAGGGCACACAAGACCTGCATTTCTAGTATGAAAAAAATCCACAAACATCTGAAAGTTTGGGGCCTTTTTTATTACAGGGAATAAAGCAGGAAGGAAAGACACCTTCAGAGGCCATGTCGAGAGAAGGAGCGAAGCGTTATGCCGAGAGCAGGGCCAGGTCTGGTGCTCCTGCTCTTCCTCCTTCTTCTGGCAGGGGCAGCTAGCCTCAAAGGCACGGCCACTGCCGGTGCCTGGTGGTCACCACGGCTCTGTGATTGTGGTGGCCACCACAATCCCTGTGGCCACCTCAAGCCCGGTGGCCGCCACCACAATCCCTGTGGCCACCTCAAGCCCGGTGGCCGCCACAGCTCTGCAAAACCTCAGCCTGGCAGTGGCCACCTCAAGCCCATAGCCACTTGTGTGTGGTGAGTACCACAGCTCAATGGTCACCTCAGCCTGGCGGTGGCCACCTCAGCCTGGCGGTGGCCACCTCAAGCTCCACAGCTGCTGATACCTGTTTGTCCCCACAGCCTAACAGCGGCTGCCACGGCTTCACGGTCACCACAGCCCAGCGGTGGCCACCTCAACTCCAGCAGCCACCAACACGCCCTGGCCACCACAACCTCGTGGCAACCACCACAGCTCAGCGGTCACCTCAGCCTGGTGATGGCTCCCTCAACCCCTGCGGCCACCTCAACCCAGCCGCCACCGATGCCTGGCGGTCACCTCAGCCCGGTGGCAGCTATCTCAGCCCTTGCGGCCACCTCAATCCCACTGGCCACCTCAAGCCTGCCCACAGCCACCTCAATCCCAGTGCCCACCTATGTGCGGGGGTCCCCTCAGCCCAGCAGCGGCCACCTCAACCCCCGGTGGCCACCTCAACGCCCGCCTTCCCCTCAGCCCCGCGGCCCCCC